GAACTCCTGCTTTCTGAGAAACTGCTGACCTGTTTTAAAAGTCTGCAAAAAGAAAATACTTCAAACCATTAAATCTGTATCAATATATTCACATTGAGGGAGGGGATTCTCCCCCTCTGCTCCACTCTGTGAGACCCCCCCGCAGGGCTGGGTCCAGCTCTGGGGCACCAACAGCAGAAGGACACGGACCTGCTCCAGCGGGGCCAGAGGAGCCACGGAGATGCTGGGGGGGCTGGAGAACCCCTGTGAGGACAGGCTGAGAGAGTTGGGGGGTTCAGCTGGAGGAGAGAAGGCTCCGGGGAGACCTTAGAGCGGCCCCCCAGGGCTGAAAGGGGCTTGTGAGAAAGGTGGGGACAGACAATAGGGCCTGTGGCCATAGGACGAGGGGTGACGGGTTTAACCTGGCAGAGGGCAGATTTAGGTGAGGTCTAGGGCAGAAATTCTCCCCTGTGAGGGGGTGAGGCCCCGGCACAGGCTGCCCAGAGAAGCTGTGGCTGCCCCCTCCCTGGCAGGGTTCAAGGCCGGGTTGGACGGGGCTTTGGGCACCCTGGGCTGGTGGAAGGTGGCCCTGCCCGGGGCAGAGGGTGCCACTGGGTGGGCTGTAAGCTCCCTCCCAACCCAAACCGTTGGATGATTCTGTGATACCGATTAGAGGTGTGAATCCAGACTCAGGGTTTCCTCTTTCACTTCCAAAAAGAGTGACAATATTCATCAATACATTACAAATGCTTTTCTAAAACTTTTTTTTTTAAATCACATCAACTTATTTAATATCTTTGTTCAGTCTGCTCATTACTGGTATTTTAGTACTATCATCTGACTTGTCAGAACAAAAAAGTAACGGGAAGAGAATTGCTAGTATCAGAAAAGCACAAGTTTCAGAGCACTTCTCTTTAACAGTGACATTTTTAAACTACCATCATCCAGACAGAGAGGTTTGGTAAAGCGCCACACAAGGAACAGTCATCTAGTGCTGAATTTGAGCACCCTTTCCCAAGCTTTTATAAAGCCCTGGAAGCCGGAGAAGAGCTGGCACCTGGGGGGTTCTGGGGAGCGGGCCCACTGCGTACAGAGCCACTGCTGTGGTGTTTCAGGGTGCAGAGCCCGAAACGTGTTTTTCAGCAGGAAACCCGCAGCTCTGCTCCTCGTGGGCGCTGGTGCCCGCAGGCAGAGGGACCCGACGGATGGACCCACCGCCAGCACAAAGCCCGGTGAGGAATCGCAGGCCAAGGGCGCCGGCGAGGAGGCTCCAAGGGCAGCCGGGGGACACGCTGCTGCACAGCGGCGGCAGGAGGGGCAGAGGAGGGACCCATCGCTGACGGGTACAAGAGCTTTGGCACCAAAGTCAGACAGATCCCAGCACGGCTCCCAGCCCCTGCTTCTCGTACTAGTAGCTGACCTGATTTCCAGCACTTGCGCCAACTGGAATTTATTTTTTTCCCCCAAATTTTATCACCTAGAAAATAATCTTTTTTAATAGCACTTGAGAAAGAAAAAACAAATTCCTCTATTACCATGGCCTCTAATTCTGAAGTATAAATCCCAGAAGCCCTCCTCACTGCTGATCTGAACATCTCAGCCCCGCTACGGGACGCGCGGAGCTTGGTGAGCCCACACATACCTGTTGAGCGCGGGGTGCCCCGCAGAGCCTGCCTCCCCCAGTCACACGTGTGTGCATGCGTGTGCACGCGTGTCCTCGTGGCGTGCGTGGGGCAGCAGCTGACTCTCTCGAGGTCACTGAGGAAAGGATTTGTTGCTGAAATACCCATTTTTTAAAATCTTGGCTAGTCTTTTCTTCAGCAAAGGTTCGGGAGCTGCGGATGGGTATGTTGAGTTCTGGGGCCTCCAGCCAGCAGCTCTGCCCAGCGCAGAGGAACCCCCGCAGGGGTCCTGCGCCTCCGGCATCGGCCGGCTCCCTTCGGCCCCTCCCGCCACAGAGCTACTTCTGAACGAGCAGGCGACTGGAACGGCAGAAAGCGATCCCCAGCAGAGAGCAGGGTGCTGCCCGCCAGCCCACCCCGCTCCCTGCCTCGCCTCCCCCCGCGGCGGCGCAGGAGCATCCCCACCGGCCCCAGCGCTGCGGGACGGACGGGGACCGGGGGGCTGGAAACCCCGGGAGGGGCGACAGCACTGCCCCGCTCGCGGCCGACGGAGGTTCCTCTCCGTTCAGAAAACACAGCTGCTATTTTTGGATCTCCAGACTCCCACTTCACATGTCAGCAAATCTACATCTCCAAAATACATCCCCTCTTTCCCTCGCGCGCAGCAAGTGTGCTGGGCAGCTGGGAAGGAGATTGTGCTTACTCACCGCAGCCCTCAGCCAGCAGCCTGCTCGTGGCACGGATTTAGCTTGCGCAGAGGCTCCACAAGCCCCGGTGCCCAGGGTGAGCGCCGAGGACACCCAGCATCTCCCAGGAGCAGGTCACCACTGCCCTGCCCCACCGGCCCCGAGCACCCCGGCTGCCTTCTGCTCCAGAACAAGAGTCCGCTGTAGGCGAGCGGCGAGCTTCCACCGCATGGCACACGGGAATCGGGCTCCCCAAAAGGTGGTGCCTCCTGCCAGCACAGAGGCATTCCCACCATCTCCCACACAGGCACAAAGAGAGCTTCAAAACCAAATCCCTTTAACAAGCAACTCATTTGTAATTACTTCTACATTATTGTTAAAGGACTGCCTGCAAATCCTCTAGGTCAATCTCATTAGGTATTGCCCAGAACATGACTTCAGACTGCAAAAATTCACGCCTGTTAAGACGACACCAGCCTTCTCTTTGTGGAAAACATAAATTCTGTGTTTCTGTCACTTGTCAACGCAGAGAACTCACATCACGGGAAACCATCAGATGCCTGACCACGGAACACAAAAGGGAAATACAGGGTTTAGCCAGGTCCCGACATTAAACCCTCCTCTCTCGTCTTTCTCATTCCCCTACCTGTACTTTATTTCCCCTCCCCTGTTTTATTTCACTCACAAACCCACATTTCTTTCCTCCCACTCAAATACTGTCACAAACTGGCACTCAGCTCCTGCTGGAAACACACTGATCAAGATGTATTAATTCATGTGAAACCCTTTCCACTTTTCTACACCAGCAAGAGAAAGTTGGCAAAGATCATTCTGAAGTTTGAGGTATGTAACTACAGTACTCTCACAGAAACGGCGCTCTGTCACAGTACGCGACACTTCCAACAGCACTGCAGAGAGCTAGCCAAACTATTAATTATTAAATTAGCCCCCTTCTTGTCTAATACTTGTTTAGACAAAGGTATTTGCCCTGCTAGCGCTGGCTGGTCTGGTGCTGAGCTGCTGCGAGCAAAGCTCAGTGAGTCGCAGGAGACAAAAGCAGACGGGCCTCAGCCAGAAGAGCTTCCCCTGCAGAGCTTCAGGCAGAGCCCCGCTCCACCGGCACCGTCACAGCACACCACGAGCCGCCCCACGCCTCTGGAGACCAAGAGGGCAGAGCCGCGGCAGCACGCAGCAGCCCCGCGCCTCGGCCAGACACCAAGGCCACGGCATGTCTGCTGCCCCGGGCAGCGCCTGCCGGCCAGGGCAGGGCCACCAGGTCCCGTCAGCCGCAGGTGAGACCGCGCCAGGCGGTCAGCATCTCACAGCAAGGCGGGTAGAACACAACGTCCCGTGCATACCAGTCAGCGGGCAGAGAACGGTGCTCCCAATGCTCAGAATGGCACGTGAATAGATAGTATTTCCTAATAGGAGTATGAATATTAACATGAAAGTGTCACTGGCTGTTCTGAAACTGCGACTCCAGAAAACGTAAGGATACCCACTATATTCTATAGATTCTATACCAAAATTATACCTCACATAGTAGAACAAAAATTCCCAGTATTCGGTAGAGCTTCTCAGCCTAATAAATACTGGTGCAATAACACCAGACCATTTCTGACATCTGAGAAAACGGACCTGTCCAGCAGTGGACATCTGTATATTCTCGATTCAAACTGATCCAACAAACCTTAGCAAATAGTTTGGCAAATTTTTTTCCAAGCCAGAAAAAAACCTCCAACATAATTACTCCTATTGCCAACCAAAGTGACCTTATAATAAAGAACATGAGATATACACCCTGCAGCTTTGTGTTTGAGTGCAGAAAGGCAACAGCCCTGTCCCTCCTGTGTCCAGCACTGGCCTTACGCAGGACAGACCATGAACTGCAGAGGGTTCCTGGGCCGCTTCATGCTGATCTTCCAGGAAGCAGCAAAGAGAAGGACCCTGCCCACACAGATCTCACTCTTCAGATGGTGTTCAGAGGGTTTCTGAGTGCAAGTTGTCAGGAGACGTCAGTCCACTCATCCATTTCATATGAACTTGCAGAACACCAGTAATTAATTTCCTACCACATGGTCAGCATTTGATGTCTCTCCTCTTCTTTCACTCTTCTAGATGGCAGCACAACTGCTTAGAGTTGGAAGAAGTCATTAACACGAAGCGTCACAAAGTGCCCGGGTGCCTCTGCAACGGCTCTGCCTCCCTGTGGGGCTGGGCAGGGGCAGGGACGTGTCTGTCCCAGCACAGCCCGTGCCCCCTGGCACCCACAGCCCCTGGTCCCAGCAGCACCTTTAACAGGCGAGTGCTGGAAGCGGAGATGGGGCCTCACCAGTCTCCGCAGGACAGCTGGGACAAGGCCTCCCACTCCTGTCCTCACTGCCTGCCGTTCACTTGGGCAGCTCCTCGACCGAAGCACACCCACGTCAGGACACTCCCATCCCCTCCTGCCCTCTCCTCACATTTTCTCCACTCAACAAAGAGGTTGTCAGCCAACCATCTCTGTTCCCCATTCAGGACGCGACTCAAACCAGCGGGTCTTGTTGCTGTCCATGACAGCAGGAAACTGAAAAATCAAACTAGTGCAAACTCCCCCCAAGCAAAAGGGGGTGGTTTTCATCCCTAAAAAAGACAACCTGAACAAGCAGGTGGGGGCAACACTGGGGGCTATTTCCACCCTGAGAATCTTCTCCACCGAGGGAGGGTGACGCACCGTCCAGTCCTCTGAGCTGCTTGTGACGCTGCCACAAACCCTCCTCCCTCCCCTTGCACCATGTCTTGATTCCCTGTGGCTGGGCCACGTCTTCTGTTGCACACCTCGTGCAGCCATCGCACTATGAACTGCACGGAGATCAGGTTATTTACATTTTTCCTTAATTAGCAAATTCAGAAAAGTAAATGATAAAGTCAATTGAGTAAAATCAAAACCTTTCCCTTCTCTCAGCCTCCATTTTCACAGCTGACATCTCGAGCACTTTCCAGTTAGACTGAATGAATGGAAAGTGTTCTCTCCTTGTTCCCTAAAGGCAAATACTACTTTCCTACCTCCTGGGGAAAAAAACTGCTCCAAATCTGCTTCTTTTCGATAAAGAAACAGAGAGAGAAAGACTAAATGCTTCCTAAATTAGCTTAATAGTATCCAGAAATATTCAAAAAGCCATTATAATGGATATATATATATCTCTCCATATAATGGAGAATATTTATATTCACATCATAATTGATCGCTGTGAGGAAAGAACTCGCTGCCAGAGGAGGGGCCACGTCTGCTGCTCGCGGTTTGAACGGAGTGCCACTGTCTGACAGAGCCCACACACACCCCCGTCCCAGAAAAGCTGCGAGGGCACGACCTGCTCTGTCCCTCCCAGCTTTAAAATCATTGTCTCACCATAGCCTCAGCTCAGCACAAAACACACCTGTGGGGCTGGAGGGAAAAAAGATGTGGAGGGAAAAAAATCCCAGAGTTCTGCATTTCCAAAACTTCCATACTTTTTCTTGCCTTTCACCTCCTCTTAGTGTGCTGCTTTTCCATGAGGTATTTTAAGAAGTGAGCTCAGCTAGTACTGCACTTATCCAAGCACAGAATGAAACCTGTCATGCGACTTGCGCTGGTAATCACAACAAACCCCAGAAGTCTGAATGAATCGTGCTTCTCCCCTTCTCTTCACCACTCACTACACTTCACCATTCACCATCCATCTGCATAATTAAAAATTAAAAAACATGAGAAGGCATTCTAAAAGAAACAGAAACATTATATTAAATCAGATTTTGGACTCAGCATTCCTCCAAACATAAGAGAAAGTTACTGCTGCGAGAGTTTTCCCCACTTTCAGGATAAGACAAAACGCTGCCCGTAACCATGCAGCCCCCCGGTGACGCTGCATCGCCCCCCACCGACACCGCCTGGCTCCCCAGGCCAGGGCAGTTCAGATCCCAGCCAGCATCCCCGCAAAGCCACGTTTAAGCCTTCTCTTTAAAAAGCACAGATGTCTTAGCTACCTGCTTGGAACGATTATAAAGCATCTCTAAGGGTGACAGAACCAAGCGCTGCCACTGAATCATCTCCAGACAGGAAACTCTCCCCAAAAGCCAGTTCCCAGCCACTTCAAGTAAACGAAGGGGGACTTTGCATGTACGTCGGCATTGTTTTTCTTTTTAAAACTGCCGTGTTAATTGCTGGCTGACTTCACAGAGCTCCACTAAGAGTGGGAGAGCCGAGAGGCTGCTGCGAGTGCTGGGGGGGAACAGCACCTCGCTAACACCCACCACCCAGCTCTCCTCAGCGCGAGCCCCCATGGGGCCAGTTCAAACCTTCTCCTAGAGAAGAGCCTGTACCCAGCCGTGCATCCAAGGGCCCAAGTGCTCTCCAAGCTCCCGGGGACTTGCACTTGGAAGCTTTATGCAGCTCCAAATCTGCCCGTTTCTTTTTTTTTTTTATGTTTGTAATTTACAATATTGAATAAAATATGGAATAAATACCACTTGTCAGTATCTAATGCTACAACTTCCCTTAAGCCTGTAATTACTTACAAAAGCCTTTCACTACTGCACAGACCTCCCACAGGTTTCTGCCTAAATTCAGGCTGAATCTGAAGACCGTCATCCAAGATGACAGAAATCTATTTCAACCTGTTTACCCCTCCAGTCTGAGTTGTCCCAAGGACGAGGAGATGAGAAGAAACGTGTGCTACTTATGCTGGTGGGAAAGCCTCCAAAAGTTCACGGCAAGACCCAGTGTGGCTGAGTCAGACACGAACCCTCTCAGCGCCGCCCAAGCCCCCGGGCTGCTCCCGGGAGCCCGTCATCAGTATCCCCGAGGGTCCCCCAGGTTCCCCGCCAAATACGCCTCAGGGCGCTGGGGAGTCTCTGCTTTGGTGGGCCGGTCAGCGTTTGTCTAAATATGCAATATGCATTTTTCAAGCTCACTGCCCAAGGGGGTGTGCAAAGCGCAGCCCCCCCCCAGGGGCTGCCCAGCACCCCTCCAGCTGTGCAGCCCCACGTGCTGCGCACGGACAGACGCAGAGCCGTGGCGCATGACGCTGCCCGCAGGTGGCAAACCAGCTCGGCCCGCTTCTTGTCACGGGTTCAGTCTGCATCTTTAAACAGAAGGTGTTTTTTCATGTCTTTTGGGCAAGAAGTACTCAAAATGCATTAATGTCTCGCTCTATTAACAAAGAAACTATGGCAACACACACAGAGTTGCCAAGAGAATTACTGAAACAAGGTTTAATAGTTAATAAGCAGCCAGATGATGTCAGACTCATCCATTAAGACCAGTTTACATCTGCCTATTAGAACTTAATGTCCCAGAAAGTTGGGTTGGCCAGGATTAAATAGTCTTCCTTTTAGCCCAATTACCAGTAATAAAACCAATTTTCTAAAGAATAGGGTAGAGTTATCCAAAATGTGGCCAGACCATGCCTATAGTTCACAGCACAACCATTACACTCCTTTTGTTAAGGAGCAATTTTCTAGATGTCAGAGATGTGAACCAAAATTTAATGTAATGTGTGTGTTATGAAAATGGAAATTGCAGAGGTTGCTCACAGAACACCCTGACTGCCAGGCAGCCTGCACCACACGTGGAGGAAATCAAAGGCTTTGCTAAATTAATATTTGTGCCTATGCATTTCTGAAGTGTGCTGAAATTATTTTTCTTTTTTTTTTTTAACTGAAGCAATCAAGAATGCTTAAGAAACAATTTTCAGTGAAAATTAGTTTCTAAAACACAGTAATAATTATTTTAGGGAAAAGCATTAAGTTGGCAGATATACTTGTAGAGTGGTTTGTTTTCTGAGCTGGGCATGTCTGCCACGAGGAGACCCCGTGACCCTCACGGCTCCGCACGGCAGGTGGGGAGGGTCATGTCCAGCAACACTATGAACTGCAAATCAGGAGTCGTTGGGGACTGCTGGTGATGGGCCTCCCGGGCCTGAAGGGAAACACGGCCAGTCTGTAATCCAGCACTACACAAGACCTGTGGATGTGAAGCAAGACGCGTCTCACCATCAACTTAATCCAACAGCTTTGGCCAGCACCACCTCAAAAGCAGTGAAGAAAAATAATGTTTGTACGAAAAGAATGTGGTTACATTAAATATCAAATAACTGAAAAAAATATTAACAGATCACCAGCCAATGCAAGCACAGATAATGTCATAAATCCCTGTCAGTGAATCACTGACTCTCCATTACCGGGCTGTCGGAACTGTGATTACTGGAGTCTCAAAATCAAACGAGGTCTCTACTAAGCTAAGAGTTTTGCAAATACCACAAGGGACGACCCTCGCACTGAAATAGCTGGGTTTCTGCTTAGGCAGGGTAAAAAACCATCCTGAGTCAAGCTAAATTGAAACTCCGATGAAAGGGGCCAAGGAGCGGCCCGGGAGCGGCAGTGGCACCACGTGTCCCTCAGCTCGGCGGGCCTGGCGCAGCGCTCTGCGGGTCGGCTCCACGCTCCCAGAGGGATCGCCCTGGTGCCCCAGATGAGAAACGCGACTTCACGGGAGTACTGTGAGGTTCACGAGAGTTACCAAGAAATCCACCTTCTCAGCTGGTGATCCTGGCAAGCTCTCGAGAAGGAGAAGCCAGGCTTTGAGCGGGTTTGCAGCGCACACGCCGGTTCCCACCGGGGTTCCTGAGGCTGACAGAACACCGCCGAGAGGCCGGCGGCTGTCCCAGGCCCTGGCGCGGTGCTCTGCCCCGGCACCCCTGGCACCACGGCCCCCGCAGAAACCGCGGCGAGGCAGGACGCCTGCCACGCAGCCGGCTGGGCACGCCACTGGGAAGTCTTCCACAACATCCAACAACTACTGCCTTCCTCTTTACTAAATCAGTTACCGCTTGTTCTGCTGCCGATGGAGAAAAATGTGTCCCCTCCCTCCCTCTGGCACTGCCCCCCTGTCCCAGGCCAAACGCCGAGTCCCTCACCCCATCTTCATGGCCCGGTGGTCCTGGCCACCGGCAGCACCCCAACCCCCTCCCTCCACCTCCCCAGGCACTGTCTCTT